TGTCTGCCTCTATATGCATCACTCAAAAACTTAGTGCTCACTTTCCAGTTTCGTCTTAAAACCCATTACACCATTACTGCAATATTCCATGCCTAGCCATGCGTGTAGTAGACGTGTTATATGCCAAGGCATTAAGCTGCATGTTCACCAAACTTACCGTCACCAGACGCTACCCATGATCTTTAGTAAAATGTTAAAACAACGTCCTTGTCGTAAATGTTTCTTACCACCGCTCTTCTCCGCGTGATTAACTGCATTAGTCGGCTAAAAGCTACCATTTGCTCGCTCGTCAAAGGAAGCTGTAATAGATCTCGCTTATAATGTGTGACATTAAGGAAAGTCAAGACCGTTTCTCACTGTGAACCATTAAAGATCTCCCCGCAAATGACAGGGGTCCCCCGGGAGTTAAAGTCCGATATATCACCCGTGGCCTTTACCATCCCGGCCGGATCTATCAGGCTCTCCCAGATACAATTATTCCCGATGCGAAGTCTCTGGGGGGCGGTTGCGTCTTTTGAGAAATGACAGGCACTTCTCTGCGCTAAAAATTCAGCAGTGACTTTGATCTTGCTGGCATATTTATTGGCACGAAAGATGATCTACAATTCAGATATATTCCTTTGATATTAGAGTAGAAAGGTGGATAAACTCTTCATGACAGGAGAGTAAATGAGGCATAGAAACTTCTCTCAATAAAGCTGGAACGTGAATATCTCGTCTGAAACTTTGAAACATAGTGTCACATTGTTTTGGTGTGACTTTTATGGGTAGTTCTAAATACAGACCGTCATTGAGGACAAAAGATTCAAATGCTTTTTATTAATACTAAATGAATCTGGCATATGGCAACAATGGTGACTTGAGCATTGCTGTACAATTAACCTTTAGTTACTAAATATACGATGATTTTCTTTGTATAAGAAAATATAGGTTCTTGTAATGCTAGAAGTCTTGCAAAGGTTGTTTGAGGTATTTGCATGTAACTTGCAAGGACATTTGTCAGAAGGTTAAAGTGTAACATTTGTGTCATACGTAGCTGTAATGGCATTTGTGTATTATCTACCACCATATGCATGGCTCGGCCATGAACCCCTGCTGTTGATAAGTTGGTAAATGCTTCCATCTAACCAAGCCGGCACGTAAAGATTACACCGCACGCAACCTGCACGGCCCCTCATCCGTCTCTGTCAACCTCCCCTCCCACTGATGACACAGACAGAGTCATCGCAATGAAGATATCTCCTCCAACGCAGAATTTACCACAACCGAACCAGGGAAATGGGCACAAATCCTCTTCAAAATCAGCAGCTTTCACTGGTCCCCACCAATGCAGGTCACTGGTGGTCGTCTGATTGCTTTTGTGTACGGGGTTTTATTGCTAAAGTGGGTGTGGTCAGGTGGCAATAGGTTGTTAGATGATGGATGGACGTATTTTTCCAAGCTTGTTGGAAGGTCTATTAGAAATTTCACGAAGAACTCTGTTTCCACGTTGATAGAGAAGTGTGGTATGACTAATGTGTTATTCCTGCATATTAAACTCGCAGCGTGTGCGTTGATAAAAGAGCTTGATTTTAAGTGATAGCCGGAATTGTGTGACCCCTACTCGCTGGAATGGAACGACCCATCGATCACGTACGTCGGCTCCGTTAGATGTTCCACCACGGTAAGGTGAGCCGTCCCCAGGGACGACCGTCCGGTATAGAGACTGAACCAGCGCGGATTCCCAACCTATTAAAAAAAGTGACCCGCAGTCGACTGAATTGGGGCGGGAGGGTGCCGGGTGTGAAATGACTGTATTTGTATGTATGGAGGGTTGGGAACCTGGATGCAGTAATGATGGAGTGGAGCCCAGTTTGAAATTAGGTGCAACTCACTGGCAACACCGGAAAGTAACAGGGGCCCAGTTTCCGCCGAAGAAATTACATTCTCCGCAGCGTCTGTTTGTTTTTCTGGTTTGTTAAACTTTGTGAGAAATCATTGATTTTTATAATCCAATCTTTTGGATAGTTATCAAATGCCCTTGTTAAGTTTTTTTGCTTGAAAAGTCTTTCTGTTTACTATGAGCTTTGATGGTATAATCATCTCCAAGAGTTAGGAAAAAAGGTTTGATAGATACTGTACAGGTGTTCTGTATTGATAATCTTATTCTAAAAATTTGATAGTCTATTTGACGGTTCTTGAAACAAGTCTCCTCTATGCACATTGATATAGAAAACACCTTACGCCACTGCCCTGCACATGGCATGAGCTTGAGGGGCTGATTACCAGGCTTAGGACAGATGTAACTATAGCCCAGACTGTCATTTCCCCATCGGCAGGACTGCCCTGCCCACAGCAACAGCTCATCTCAAGGAGCATGCAGTGGAAAATTGGATAGCGTAAGAGAGGACCTCTGCGCGAATCATGTCAGGAGGTTAGCAAAGATGGCACTCTATACCCAATCATCTGCGTGTTAACATTCTGGCTGGGTAACCGTTACGTCGAGGTAAATGTTGATTATGGTAGGAAAATGATGGCGAGGAGTTTGGCCTGGTGGAAAGTTAGTCCAGTCGGATAGATAGAGAGAGAGCGCGGGGAAATGTGGAGTGTATCGTGTTCACGCCCTGGAAAATTAAGGAAGAGCACCCTCGGTTATCCCTCACCTGAGGTGAACAGGTGGCGCGTCCAGCCGTGATTACCCCGCCTCATTAAGACCCGCCCTCCCTGCGGCGCCGTTTCCACGCTATCGCTAAAACTGCTGATTTCCACGGGACGACTCCCCGTCAGCTCGCGCAGTTCCCTCAATGGCCGACACATCAGATAAAAAGTGATATATTCGCCCCCAGTTTGAAAGCACCTAACAAAATGTTACTGTGAAGGAATCCGGGATGGGGTTTAGCTCCCCCCCGGGCCTCGTTGGCGGTATTTAGTGCTGCGATAATGTTTCTGTCCTTTGTTGGGACTGTTTTGTGCGGGGATTAGTTCGTATGCAGAATCCATTAACTGTAGGTTGGGCCGAAAATTGGATTCCGACCCTGGCCACTCGCGCAGGCATAACTTGTTAATGTCAAAAGGTGTGGAAAGTGGGAGAGTCTGCCATTAAGGATCGGAAGACATGATTTATTGGGTCCATTAAATGTGCGGAAGACTTCTGAGTGAATAAGAAAATGGTAACGTTATAGAGACAGATGTCGAGGAGACTATAACTTTCCAGTCACTGTGCTACAATTAGTCACTTAGCTAGAGGCACAGCATTGCCTTTGGGGAGTCTTACTGGCAATACTGACTGCAAAGCTCCATTCAAAGACTGAGTAAAACATAAAGGACTATTATATATCTAATAGATGCAAATTATGTATGATTGTATACCTGTAATAAGAAGCCAGGTAGTTTTATCACCTAATGCGTATCAGTTTCTGTGATTATTTGATTACGACGGAAATGAAATCTTGTACTGCCTGCTACATGCCTGGTGTTTTGGAAGCCATTTGAAGAGACTGTTAATGTAGTGGGGGCTGGTCATGTGGCTGTGGATAATGATCATCACTGCTGGAGTACACCTGGGCTGTGATTAGGTCATTTGTCTTCAACATCTTTTATCATCACGATGGTTGTAAGCAGAGCGGTTAAACAGTACCTTCAACACAGAAATCCCTGCAATACAAGCCAAACAGTCATGCAAGTGTAGAAGTTTCTTAAATTATATTGGGTGAAATGTATGGCGAACTATTAAAGAATAATTGTAGAAATAATTGAGATTCCAAGCTATCTATGTGCCTTAATTAAAATTCTAAAAGACACCATATATTGTTGTCAATACCTTGATATAACTCAAACCAGACTGCAAAATACTGTTAACATTGTTAATAGTACAATGTCGTCAAGTATGGATAATGTAATATACCTTCCGCATAGTCATGATTAGAATGAGATTATGAAATCACTGGCAAGACGTAATGAAAAAGAATATGCTCAAAAATATGAGTTTGAAAGGTCAACTCTTTCAGACATGTACGAAATGTATGAATTAGTTTCTCCAGTTACAGTGTCTGGTACATGTATGTTGTAATAGTTGTCTGCCCAGAGCTGCCATTTACTAATGGCTAATGTCTGGTAATACTCCTTACCATCTACTGTTAAATGCCGAAATGATTCGTTAGGGTCTCCCGCGGATTACCTCCATTTCTCGCTCGCTCCACCACGGTCTGGAACCACATAACCGTGAATCTTGTTTGAGGAATGCCTGGTCTGACATCTGTTCGCTTTTGATGCATTTTGATGGCCTGATTTGCAATATTTCATGCATCATAAGTAGGATGTATGGTCCGTGAGGCGGTGTGCGCTGCGCTCGGCTAGCTCCCATTGTAAGCCGGTACAGCAACTAGTGCTAAATATTCCCCACAGAGGTCGTCAACAGTTCAGGGCAACCTGTCATCCACGAAACTTCCTCCCAAGTTCACGTCCAAGTGTATCATTCCAAACACATAAAACCAATGATCTATTACAGTGCAGTAGCTCTGTGGTCGGGTCAATATAGAAGTGGTCAAATGGGAAATTGTTTGAAGTAATTTTTTTCACTTTGTGAATCATTTAAAGGCAAAAAGAAACTTGTTTTGTTTAGCTACCCCAGGCTTTGAACCCATACCTTCTGATTGAACAATAAATTACAATGCACTAAACCTGTGTGTGTATGTATGTATGTATGCTTTACATTACCTACAAGGTCTTACACTATATGCCATAAACAACATCCGAATGTTGTTAGCCCTTGTTTCGTTTGGCTCTGGAAAAAGCTTCCCAAAATTTCCTGTTTATTCTGCTATTATAGTGCGCGTGGAAGTCAGAACATATATATAAGTAAAATAAAGCTGACTTCAAGTTCACCTCCTGAAAAACAGGTTGGGACAGTTCATCCTCACTTCGGGACAATTGAAATTTATTTTCGTGACAGTCCTGAGACAATAGGAAAAAAGTCTAATTTCGAGGCCTGGTTATTGATGTGTGTGTTGTTGTATTTCCAGTTGATTGTGTCTAAGATGGCGATGTGGGAGGAGGACCCAGACTGGGACGACAGTGGTGGCAGCAGCGGGATGGGACCAGACGGGGAGTACAGCGGGGATAACGACGACGAGGACTACCAGGACTCCAGCGGCAGTGGGGACGGAGAGACCCCGCCTCTTACTGACCGTAAGTTTTACTCTTCTTTTTTTTTATTCCAACACTTCATGACAACACATGAAGTGACGGCATAGTCAAGTTTTTTAAACTTATTCTGTGCCGCCACCTATGCAGAGGACTAAATACTGGACAGGGCAGTATTCATTTTCAGTTGACTGAAGTGAGGAAAGTGTGTAAAGTGCCTTTCCCAAGGGCGCAAGATCGGTGGCATGTCAGGACTCGAACCCGGAACCTCTTGGGTTCTGAGTTGAGCACTCTGCAGTTATGCCACATGACCCCACTAAGTTTTACTTCTCCTTAATGTCCTGTGAGTGGCTTTTTCATGTTGGTTAGTTAAGGAAGCATAAACTGATTCTAATGATGGTCAAGAAGATTTTCAAAAGAGATTTAGAAAAATTAATGTTCTTAAATTACATTAAGTATAATCCCATCAAATATATTCTAAGACTCTTTCCTATTGGTCAACACACTGTAGATCAGCCAATTGTTTGACAACACAACCACTAAATAAACTGTTAAAGGCTGGTTTTGAATCGTCCAATCACAGCAGACAGTGATAGATTCGGAGCTGTCTGGTTGGCCGGGGGTGACCCCTCCAACGTTCCCAAGGTGTTTCCTGAGATAGAGTGGGGGCACCTCAGCTTCAGACTCTTCATCAGGAACTATCCATCATATAACACACCAGGGCCACGGGGTTCAGGAAAGTAGGGCAGGACGTAGCCTATTGTTACACTGAGAAAGAGCAATCACGGATTGCTGTTTGTTCCCACAGGGATGTTGTCTGTTGAAAGATTGAAATCTGACCACGTAGGCTTCGTGTTGTGGATGGCATCCTCTGGCCATACCAAAATCTCATCCAAAAGTTTTTAAAAATTCATTAGAACTTTTTGTATACTGTTGTGATTTTCCAGCAGTTTTATGAAAATTGTAACAACTTCAACCATTTTGTAATATGTTTCACCAAAGGCTGAAAGTTAACTTTTGGTTTGCAGTAAGTTGTTACTTGAGTCCTGGCACCATCACGTATTGATGTTAATAGGGGAGCAAGGGTCTGGTGTTTGCAGTGCTTAGGAGACGTGCCAGAATCCATGTTCATGTGGGAGCCAGCCAAGGAGTCAAGTCTGTACGGCCTAATCAATAATGGATACAGGAATAAAGAGAAAGTTAACTCAAGCTGAACTAGGCTGTATTCAAACAGCAGGAATACACAAGGAAAACTTCCATCACCGTTAAGTGCATTCCTTGACAAGAAAAGCTCTTGTGATGGCAATAAACATGGGAACAATTAGATCACACATGTAACAACATAGTAGCTATCCTTTCCACCCGTCAAAGTTTCGTGCCGTATTGTTGAGTGAAAACAAGTTCAAAGGCGCCTGTGATGTATCTGCCGATGGTACGATCGCTGATTGTCACTGGTATTACTCCATGCCTGAGCAGGTAGAATATTGCTGTTGTTCACAAGGAGATCCTGACGAATGTTTTACATCAACACACGCAGATAAGGCGCTGTCAATCTTCGTAGAATTGTCTCAGGTTTCAATAGAGACAATCAAGGCCTGCTTGGCGAAAACTGGGAGAATTAATGTGCCCCGCCATTGCTCTATTGTCACTCAGGTTGTCTAATTTAGGACCAACATTCCTCCAACGTGTCGGCCATCAATATCCACCAACAGAAAAAGTGATACACGGATTGATTTTTGTGTAAAGGGATTGATTTTGGTTCTGGGCGAGTGCGAGCCATTAATTATTTGATTCGTATCAGTTTTCATAGCAGGGATCGATAGAGGCAGGGATTCCAACCATTGAGTTCCATCATAGTATTTCAACACACGATAAATTTTCAGGCATTGTACACAAAGTCTAGACAAATGACATGGGCAACTTTGGCAAGTACCTTCTGATAGAACTTATACCACAGAGAGAGAACACCATCCAATGTCATTCCCAAGATGAAATCTTATAATACTTATGATATATTGTTGTTCATTGCAGATAATGCTGATTTATATGTCTCTTTTCCGAGCTCATCCTTTATTCTTGATTCTTTATGGCATAGTAAGAAATTTTCTTCTACAATAGTTTATCTGTCCATATATTACATCAGATTAATGCTTAAATCTCTAGCAGTGAATTATATTGGCCTTTGTTACAATTAATACCAGGACAAGGCTGTGGAAACAAAATCTACTTGGAAATGTTTGTTCTAAAAAGTTGGAGGAAAAGCTGTAATGTTTGTGAAATGATGCCGCCAACATTTCTGTATCTAATGCGGTGCTCTAGTATTGGTGACTTATCTTAGAGACTGTCGTCTCATTAGATATGCACGTTAACCTATGGCTTGTTATCAGTCCTGAAACATTGGAACAAGTGCAGCTGATTGGCCTGTAATTGAAAAACGCCCCTACGAGAAAAACGGGGGCGATGAGAACTGATTATCTGAAGCTGATAAAAAATTCAGAACCTTGCGAGGCGCGGTCCGCGGACTGATGTCTTAACGTGTTCACTAATGGGTTCCAAACCCGCTGGGTATCACCCGGGACACATGGTTATTACTCTCAAGTCATCTCTTCCACGTGAGGATTCTGGAGTAAAGTTTGCCTTCCGTGGAACTCGACTTAAGGCCGAGGACAAAGTCAACGCAAGGTGATCGGCACGCATTATTAAACAATAATCCGTGATTATGCATGTCGCGACCTGGATGGTTTGACAGCTGTCGAAGGGGCATCGAGGTGTTTTGTGCTGTCAGGTCGCACTAGTACTTTATAATTAGAACGTTATGTGAGTAAGAACGGATAAATGACAGCAGCCTGATCTCAAGTTCACGTCGTTAGGTCGTGTTAGACTGTTTTGTGCGTCGCGTCTCCACAGGAGGCACCCGGTCGTGAATGAGAATTGGCGACACGCAGAAGTGGCCTCTCAATAACACAGGGTTGTGGTGGCGGCCCTCTGTAGGTATCATCATCAGGACATGACCTTCCCCTCTCCATCACTTCACAGCCATGGTGGAGTTTATATCTACATCAATAACATCACTTCTAGAAAACCAACCTGGAGATGAAAAAAGAGAAAATAGCTGGTGGAATGGGAAGGGATATCATAAGAATCCTATTTACTAATATATCTCTAGTCAGAAATGTCTATGTACAGGCAAAAGTGCATAACGGAAGTATATCCTTTCTCTCTTTCAATTCCCTTTTGTGATTTTAAAAAAAAGGCAATATTCTTTGACTGCAAATTGTTTCCTGTCTGCTTTTGTCAGTATAAAGAAGTCCGCAGATTTGGTGCTGTAAAAAGACAGGTTTTGTTATCTTGGCCATTTCGCCGTTTCGTTTTACGTCACTTCTGAAATACAAGGAGTAAAAGATAAGGAAGTCAGACTCCAAGCCCAGAGACAGGTCATGTCTCTTTTATCGGTGATTTCCGCACTCGTCAAGGATTCATCTGCATGTTGTCTGCACTTAGCAGACCATGAATGGGTTGATAGGTAATCACTGATAAAACAGACGAGTGATAAAGTTTTACCTCAGTCGTGCGGAAGCCGGGCCCATCAGAGAAGTTATGGTCGCTGGTGCAGTAATGGCCCGTGCTTCAGATCGGACCCACTTGGGTAGCGGAGCTGAAAATGAGCCACAGTGTCATTAAGGTGTCGGGGATGAGGCAGAGCCGGGAGTGTAATCACTTGTGCAGTGTCGGAGACGTCACGTAATGTTTACCAAAACGCTCGGCATCTCTGATGGCAAATTCAGACATATCCGTTTCACCATTTGTTAAGGAAATGTCATGAGGTTTATATGGTTTGCGATCTTTACTCTGCTCATCAGTGTTATAGTTTTGAATTCACACTTCAATTTTTAAAGCCAACAAATATCATTTGTAACTCGGCGCCAAACTGAATTGTATGAGGAAATGTCAGAAAGCCTTGAGGACAATAATTGTAGCAGAAGCTAAGCCAGGAAAATTAGGACAGGCTGGTTTTCGTGACCCCCCAACTCCTGTCTGGTCCTGTCCATTGTTAGATAATGGGGTTAAACATTCCCCTGGCAGGTACTGGAAAATTGGGTATTAGTGTTTTCACCCATGCACCACTCGCACAATAATTCCCACCTTTTGCATTCGAAATTAATTTGATGGTAATGAATTCAGTGCAATTGGTGACATTTGGCCGAGAGCAAGACTAATATTCCATGTAAATCACGTCCAAAAACCAGGTGAATCATTCTTCTTTCTCGTTGTTGAAAAATTTCTTGCATTTGTCTTTGTTTGCCAGGATGATCGGAGAGGCCATCTGCCGTTTCTTGCAGTTATAACCAAATTGATATAAAGAAGGCAAGAGTGGCTATTTCCCCAAATGCGTTCTTTGAAAGGAAAACCTACTAAACAGCAGGCCCATTCCGTCCTGAGCCATTTCACTAACATCCTATCTGTGTTCATCTACGTTTGCCCGTAGCCACGAAACTGTGACGACGAGAGCTTGTGTGTGTTAACGAGGTGAAATTGCCATCAGAAACATGCTTATTAGAATGCGCAAGACGTTTTGAGCATTGTCGTTGTTCATTTGGTTATTCCCAAGTTCGGTGTAACCGAATTCCGCCCGTTTTCTGCGAGGGCCCGCGAGTGTTGCAAACGGCCCCCCGAACGTCCTCTCCGACGAGCGAAGGACACGGGATAGTAATCTGCCATCCCGGCTGAATTGCTGTTAATGCTACATGTGCGATATCCCACCACACCCTCCCACTTTTACGAGGCTGTGATGGCATGTCGAGTGCCGGCCCCCATAATCCCACAATTATTCTGACACATGATGAATGGAGAATGCGCCGGAATCATCATGCTTCAGTTCAGGAGTGAAATGTTATTAATACTTAATAATAATGGTAATTTCTATTGAAATCCCTTCCCCCGAGGACCGAGGGTGGCAACACCGGAATCGCAAGCCTCGTTTCCTGTTTCGCTGCAAACAGGTTCTCTTTGGTCCAGTTCACTTGGCTGTTGTGAAGGGGTGCATTGATAGAATTACAGGAAGCTTTGTGTGTTGAGAGACGTGCCACATTAACCATAGTCTTGGATGCATACGGCAATAGAAAATGGCTGTTACCTTTATGATTTAACGACAAGACAAGGTTTTAGAGCGTCACTGACGTAGCTAAGGAAAGCCACGTCCATTTAAAGATGTTGAAAATCCGGCAAATATTTGTCTTGTTACGCACAGTGTGCGAGGACTTAAAAAATGCAATAAAGGAAAACGGCCGATGAAATGGGGCTTCCCGTATGATTTAATGCTGTATACCGTAAATAGGTTTAGGAGCGTACACGATGGATAATACATGGATATCACGTCTGGCCAAAACACAGCGGGAATGTAAACGATTCCACCACCATATATACGAGCGGGGCGTACCCCCGAAAACAAGGCGATGTCTCGCACTTTAAGAGGATTATGCATAAAACAGTTAACAGCAGACTTCTTCCTAATTCAATCAGGCGTGGTTAACCGCGTTATTTGGCACACACCCCGACACTATGATGTAAAGCTGGGGTTTTAAGATGTAGATTTGGATCCTGTAGGAACAGGAGGATTGTAGCCTGTGAGTAAATCCCTGCTGTCGACACACTCAGCCGGGGAGGGCCAGGCACAAAGCTGCCTCTGCCTTTGTACTGAGCTCCTATATAGACTGACTATGGAGTGGTGATTGTCCAAAGTGCATAGGGATTCAGGCAGGGGGTAGGACAGGCTCCTGGCCTTTTGTTCAAAGCTCCCACCAGCAAAAGATTGATGTGGGGGTTTAAGAGAGCGGGTTGTGGTGAACTGGTAATGTTAACAAAAGTGATAGCAGTGGTTGGGATGATGTTGTGTCAACAGTGGGACATGTTTATACCTTTACATTTGTGCCACTCAAATACTGGAGAGATAATACAGAGACACGGCAGTTGGTGGTGGCACAGCAAGATCTTTTCAGACACAGCTGCAGTTATGGAAAATAAACTGAACCTGGCTGTTTATAATCCATCATTTAGAAATAAATAGAAGTTAATCAAAGACTCTCATGCATCTACATAAGCGTCTGAGCACAAAAAAATGAGATCTGACTTATTGCGAACTTTGATGGTTGAGTTTGATATTGCATTCAGTCATTTAAGTCCATCCTATAGCATAGTCTATCAATACTATTGGTGTACATAATGATGTTGCTCTTCTGAATAACAAGGACTTTGCACTGTATTTATCCCAATAATAGCATGATACAAAGTATTACAATTGTAGCATGTTTGCCAAGTAGATACAGAATGCCAGTTACACTATTCAGAGGGTCACACATACTGCATTCTTCAAGATAATCATGTACGTTAGATAGAGGTAGTAATACTTCATTGTGTGGCATTATTGGAGCTTTTCCAGTACAGTATTGAGCTGTTGTGCAGCATTTCCAGACTGTGTACAAAATAGACCAGACTGACGGGACGTTATTTTTCCTTGCAGCTGGTGTTAGGACTGACGAGGGGATGTACTTTGCAGAAGACGCGACAACCCCGAAACAGAAGACCCCCCCAGGCAACTCCAGAAGTGAGACCATCAACGACAGAGACAGACAAGGCGCCGACCCCAACGTCCTTGGCACAGAAAGCGGTAGCACCGCGCCGGCGGCCACCATGTCACTCATCGCCATAGCAACACTCACCGTCACAGCGTACTTAAGACATACCCTCTAATGCAACAGACGTTTCCCTTCCTCCAAAACCTTTGTATGTAATGATCCCCCAGTTTTTCAGTTGTGTTGTTCGATGCCCAGAACTTTTGTACATACGGGACTATAATGTATTATAATAGAGGTGAGCGGAAAAATGTCATATATACAGAGGAACAGTCTGACGGCATTGTATATACGGAATATGCATCTCTTGGCGCGGGTTATTTTGTACTTACTTCGTCCGGAAGGATTGCCGTCTTCTTTTTTGTGAACAGGAGGTTACTTAAGAATGGGGAACGTAAAAGAGTATTTGTAACTGTTGAGGTAAATCGTAATAATTAAAGGCATTGTACGTTATTTGAACAAGTCGCTTGGACATGGCAAACAAATATGAAATGTTTGGGGGCAATTCTACACATCAGAATGGTACATTTGAGAGACCCCTTGTTTTTTTTTTTGAAAGTTTGAATGTTCAATTTCTGTCAGATAGCAAAATGTCCAATTTACTGTCCAGATAATGCATTGAAAGACTTGTTTCATGAATATGATATGAATGGGTGATAACTATCACAAAACACTATATATACTGGTCTCACATTTTTTATTTATATTTTTCATATTTCAATCTTGCCACCAATATTCAGTACCAAAAATCAGATGTTTATTTTACTCCTTGGAGCATTTTTCTGAATTCGAGAAGACAATATCTCATATTTTAGTACTTTTTAAATAATTTTTTTCCTTTGGGACAGAATTCTCATGTAGATGTTGAAATGAGAGAGAGCCAGATATGACAATTTTACGTGTATTTATGGGAATGTATGAGGATAATTCTGTGTACCTAACTATGACTTCTTAATTTGTGATTGCGTCAATTTAATGAAAATACAAAGAAGAAGTCTTGAACAAATGAAGTTTTTGTTTGTGATTTAAAGGTGGGGTCGGACTTACCGGTATATATAACTGAATTACTATACAGACAACTTCAATGTAGTTGTAACTTTTGACACATTTTCATCGTTATGTTTTTTGTACCATGACTATACATATAATATGCTGTTACAGTAAGATACAAACGTTATGTGTTATAAGCCCAAAATTACTAGGTAAGGCCAGTGGGGTGTAGTTTTGTATGTATTAGCACTGCAATGAGATGTGCCTTGAATGAATTTTTTGAATATATATTTTGATACTCCTTGGCCATTCGAATGATGATAGAATTGCAGATTGCTTGTTATGTGATGGCATTTTGGTTCATATGGTTTAGGATTTGGTGCATAGTTGTAAGGGCAGCATTTGTGTATTAATTATCATATATAGCAAAACTACCCTATGAACACTCAACCTGTAACAGTCTACCTGTAAAAATATCAGATATTCTGTCTTGTATGTAACAATAATTTTCTTTGTCGTATGTTTGGTCACACTCGAGTTGGGCAACTATCAATAGAAATCTGGAGGGGAAGGGCATTTACAAACATACAATCTGAAAGGGGGTAGTCTCATGTATACTTGTTTAGCACTAAACAATATCATTACAACTATAAGCACACTTCCAGGGGAACTACATTGATAACAACATTGTGCAACAAATTATTGTCCAGTCCCACTTGTAAATTTTGCAGTATTATGGCCCAGGTATTTTTCATGACCATTTCAATTGACTTTTTTCTCAGTTTCTTAACACGTTGCTGCAAAATTAAAATTTCTAGTCCTTGAATGTTGTAAAAGTTTTAAGTTTTTTAGATTTTTTTTTGCCATTTTCATTCGTGATTGTATAAAGTATTTGTCCTATACTACAATATGTTGTGCTAGGTTTGCTGTGAATCTGTATTTGGGTGGTCAAGTGGTATTTCTGATTTGATTCCTGTAGTCTCTATCAGACTTCATAGGATTTGCTAATGAGCATATATTTCAACTATATGTATGCCGAAACAGATAGGGCCAGGACATATCCTATGAAGACTAGTGGAGACTACAATTTGTACTACGTATCTAAGTCATGACATTTGTAATTTATTTCCAACCTACAACACAACAATTTTTGTACAAAGAAACTGGAAGGCTGCCATTCCTTGCGAGTATGCTCAACTGTACCAAACAAACAAACAAAAGTTGTTAATCACTTGTGTGCCACATCTGTGTCCTATAGTAAATGATTGATTCCTCGTGTAATTTGCATGTTTCTAATTTGCATAAATGGGACGTTTCCATGCTCCTGAAACTGTATCACAGCAGGGTTCTAGTTGTCAAAGACAATTGCAAACAGTTGAGTTGATAGACGTGGGGCCGATTTTTGTGTACAATGTTTGGTGACGTTGATCATGTACTGTTACCAGTGATGTTTGCAGTCCAATTCTTTTCCAAACACCATCCTCCAAATGACAATAAAACTTGACCAAGTCATCCCGCTGAGTCTTACTTTATTTTGAAGTTAATTTGAAATGGAAGTTGTAAGGTTTTAGTACATTACTTCAATGCAACCATGCATACGCTGGTTGGCATAACCTGGAAGAGTTAGACCTAGAAATTTGATGCCATGATTATGTTATGTAACATATTCAAATTTGCCTAGTAACGCCTAGGTTTAACCATCCAATATGGCGGACAATACGTACATGTCAAAGCCATGTGAGTTCAAACGCCCTGTTGGTAAAGTCATGTCAGAAACAAAATGATACATAGTGAAGCATGGTGTTGCTCTGGGCATTTGACACTGCCCATCCAACATTGGTTCATCAACTGGAAGGTAACATTTGCAAAGCAAATGCATAATGTTTCCCTTCGCATATGGTTTTCACTGTTAATTCTTACTCAAACACATTCACATATATGGTGACAGCAGTCTAAATCCGTCCTACTATAAAATTGCAACATGATGTAACCCAACACCTGTTACCATGTGAGAAATGGTCTAGTTCAGGTCATTGACTAGGCCAGAGGTCACTTTGGAGAAGAAGAAGAAACAAGGGCAAAAACAATATGTTTTACTTCGGTAAACATAACAATATTTTAAGTTAATCAGATTTTTTTCCAAACACCCACTGTTTTGCGAATTTGAAATGGTAATTTCAGAGTTACGTCGTTGAGAGATTTGGGGCTGAGAGACAGGCAATCAACCTTGGCAGGGCAGGTGGTTTGGGCTGCTCACGGAAAATGAAGTATCGTTCTGGGGTATGTAAACTTTGTGTAGACCATTATGTGTGTGTAGTTAACGATACCTACGTGATAGTTTGAAGATATTACATGCATGTGTGAGAGTATGTACGTGTGTATGAATTCATTTGTGTACCTGCAATGTCCTTGTACTTTTATCTGACTCTCTATCATATCTGGTGAGTCATGTGCATGTCAATGCTTTACTAGATTTGACTTTACTTATCCACAAAAAATTACAAAAATCCATTCGTGACTTTTTGGATCATTTTGTCCTGGAGCAATCATTGGTTAACAGTACTATTTTCAGTACACGAGGTGATGTTTAGCCTCCTGTGCAGGCTCCGGGCGGGTGGGAATTTTGACTCGGCAACGCTATGTCAAAATTGCCACCCGCCCGGAGCCTGCACAGGAGGCTAGTGATTTTACTGTCATTTCGGATCGCCAGCTGAACATGTTGAAGAAATTGCAGTACTCAAAACGCTGCAGCAAGAGGATAACAGTATGTAACATCCCCCAAATAGTACTCCCTGTTGACTAGCCCCGTAACCAATAGAACTTTGAACTACTTGTTTTGCTTACTTCAGTGAGCTGAAGGTTATATATCCAGTGCGATTTCAGGGCAGCAAAACTGGAAATATTCTGAATAAGGCAATCTTTATGATATTGACACATACTGCTTCACTTTAGCACATTTGAATCAGCATTTCATACTTTGGGCATTAAAACGGTAGAAACAAGCCCCAAGACTAGTCCTTTATTTTCTGGGTGGTACCCTACAAATCAGCCCAGGGCCCTTTCAGTAACCATTATCCGTCAAAATGTTGGGAATTTTTGCTCCATGAGGGTTCATGTACATTAGGATAGTGTGGTTTTAACTCAGTATGTAGATAAATGACTAGAATATTGGCTTTGAAAAATCGGGCTTCCAAGCCCTAAAAACTGCATTGGGTGCCTTTCACACACCATCTGAGGTCTGTTTTGTAGGCTATACAGTGAGATATGGTGCATGAGAGTGGGCGTTCCGGGGGATCGAGGGTGGATCAGCTTGAATATTGCCGGGATTTCACCAACAATCTCGGTCACCAATTTCAGCTGCAATTTCTTTTCACTCACTGATATACACAGACCGGATTCCTCTGTGAAACAAAACAGCTAGTAAGGCTTTTGAAATTGTGATATTTATGAAGAATATTTCCGTCGATTTAATAGCTAAAAAAAATTGGAGAAACTATCTTTGTATTTTGGCCTGACAGTATATGAGGAAAGGTAGAGATTCAGTATACTTTCAAATCAAAAGTTTGGTTTTTTCGCTCTTTTATGTTTTTTGATCGGGGTTTCTTTATGCACTGGGTTTTTTTACGCCATTCACCCTTTCCCCAAAAAAATTCCAGTGCAAAAAAGAAACCCCGATAAAAAAAAACATAAAATACGCCAAAAATACGCCAAAGCCCAAACCTTAGCTTGGACAGTAGAAGATTCTATAACAATACATCATGATTTGTTTATGCTGGTCGCAACAACGAAATAGACCGTCGCCACATCAAAAGACGGTAAAAGAGGCTCAAGCTTGAGGCCTGATTTAAGAGTCAATCCGGCACACGAATGCTATCATCATACACACACCGATAATTCTGCCATTCCCAGAAAGCCGAAAAGACCTCCAACTTGGAGTTTTATCAGTTGTCACAGCCGTTATCTTCGAAATGTCGGATTCAGCTGCAGAGAGAGAGAGATTTGGACGTGAGTCTGTCGGTTATCACCCAACTCAGGATTTTGCAGACAACATGTATGCATGTGAACTTCAAAGTAGAGACATAAACATAAGACATACTCTCCAAGCAGAGGTTGTGGGGAATGATCGTTACATTTCTATATATGGCCGTTTTTTTTTTTTTGGTCCTGACAGCCCGTCGGTGGCCGCCGAGCTTCTCTGGCTACTGGATACTGCCTGGCCAATTTGATACTGTCTTTTTGCCACCGAGAGGGATCTGCTTGGAGATTAATAAGACAGGCCTGTGAAGTAAAAGAAGCTGGTGTTTAAAAAAAAAAAACACACCTTGTATGATGGTAGTGGTATGCCTCACCAGTGGGTTCGTCAGTTGAACGCCACCCGTCATGGGGAATTTCGGCCCTTAGTTCAATATTCCCTCGGGGTGGGGGGCCAGCAGTGCAAAAAGCACCACCACCCACTAGTGAGCTGTCGCCATCAGTCCTGACGATTGACTTTTAAAACATTGTTCCATTACTGGTGCAGCGTTCGAAGTTCGAAGCGGAGTCAGAGTTCGAAACACCTGACGGCTGGTGACTGTCATAGGTGAATGCTAACGGTCGCTTCGCTTCCGCCTTTCCTCAAGTAGGTACTTGTTCCAGATCCATGCAGATCCTGCCTCCGCTGCTTCTGCTGCTGCTCTTGTTGTTGATTTGATTTCTTTTCTGCTGAGACCCATCTTGTTTAGCCATTTGTGAAGAGATGCGGCAACAAACCCTCTGCATCCTAATTCGAAAGGGTAGCATGATGACCTCCAGCCTTTGTCCCTGCACACTGCCTCCAGTTCCGCATATCTTGTTAACTTCCGTTCATAAGCCTCCTCTATATTGCTCTCCCATGGCACTGAAAGTTCTCCAAACACCACCTCTCTAGAACTCTCCGACCAGATTACTATATCAGGGCGCAATAGCGTAAGAGCAATTTCCTGTGGGAAACCGCCTTCCCCATCCAGGTCGGCCTTTACTTTCCAGTCGTTTGCAGCTGAAAGGATGCTAGGTTTACGCTTGGAGCTGGTGTCTTTCCTCGGCTGGGAACCTTCCTTCAGAAATGGGGTGAAGTACTGATTACCGGCGGGTACCTCCTCGGCGTTGACACATTCAACTCTCCCCTTGATAGCGTCCACTATCACTCTCAGTACATTGTTGTGCCTCCACGTATATTTCCCACTAGAGAGTGCGGATGGACATGCGCTGAGGATATGTTGCAAGGTGCCCTTCTGCCCACATGCTGCACAACAGTCTGACCGCTCCTCATACCATTTACTCAGATTCGCTGGTGTCGGTAGAAGATCGTACGTGGAGCGCCACAGGAACGAGATGCGGAGAGGTTCCATCTGCCACAGGACATTAAGTGAAATGTTCCTTTGCTCAACACTCTCCCAGGTTGTCCACATTCCCTGCTTAGCCAGTCCGGCTGCTACAGCAACCCTCTTCTCTTCTTCCTGTTCTCTTACTTCCTGCACAACCATCTCTCTTCGCTCCTTCTCCGTTGCCGATGACCACCACTTGTGACGAATCAGCCCAAGTCCTTGACGGCCAGTCTGGGTCGCACCAACTACTTCCTTGTGCCTAAGCCTCGCCTCAGCTTCTTCTACCGCAGCACTTACTCTCCACTTTCTTCCAGACCTTAAATCAGGCTGAAAGTTTCTAATCACTGGGTCTTTGGAGTTACTTAAGGTCATGGAGGTTCTCACTTTGGCCACCTTAAACTCTTCCACAAGTGATCGCACTGGGATATTCAGCTTTGCCTTCCTACTGTGAATTGCAATGTTTGTGAGGCTGTTCGGCACTCCCAGCCATTTCTTTACATACGTATTGATGTTGCGTTCCATGGCTTCCACGTGGCTTAGAGCTACCTCATACACTGTTAAAGGCCACATGATCCTTGGCATGAGCCCATACTGTAGACACCAAAGCTTCAGTTTTCCAGGCAGACCACTGTTGTCTATTGCCTCTAACCCCTCTCGTATGAGCTTTGCTGTCTCTTGAACTCGCTTAGTGTCTTTGAGGTCCTCAGTGTACCACCGACCAAGGCTCTTGACAGGCTGCTCTTGGATGGTTGGGATCTGTTCCCCACTCAGGTTGAAATGGTAGTCAGCCAGCGTCCCTTGTTTTAGGACCAGACTCCTGGATTTCTTGGTTTTGAACTTCATTCTAGCCCAAACCATCAGTTCATCCAGTCTGTCCAAGATTCTCTGAGACGCTGTGGTATTTGGGTTTAGGAGTGTCAGATCGTCCATAAATGCTCTGATCGATGGCAGTTCTTCCGAACCCTCGAGGTGTAGTATACTTCATATCACGTTCTACTCGAGCTATTTAATCTGTCGTTCTATAGAATTTCGGATTTTACAATAGACATTTTATTAATTGATTTAAATGGTGGACAGGCTTCTTGTGTGAAATCGATTTATGTTGACAAATAACTGTCAGGAAAAATCCAGGAGCGATGGAGATGGTCACCGTTACTAGGATTGGTATTACTGGGAAAGAAACAGAAGGAAATGCAGCACTTGATTGTAAAAGAAATTAGGCTAGCGGACAAATTTTCATGAGCTCTCATACGCGCGCACACGTACAAACGAACACACATACGAACTGCGAGAACATGAGAAACACGCACACACGTACATGAACGCAAGGGCACGCACACGAACGCACACACACACCGTCACACATACAAGCACACACACACACACACACACACACACACACACACACACACACACACACACATACACACACACACACACACAAACCCATATCTTACGATGTCTGTCCCTATTATGTTGCCCCTATGTGTGCCCATATTAACCCCTTAATACAATGACAACAATGCTGTATGGAAAACCTCCATTATACCAGCTGGTCGTCATCGTAACAGCCAGCTGACGCTACAGTCAGGACTACAGTTCCGGGGATAAAGGTGAAAATAAACAACGCAATAATCTCTGTAAAGTTCAGGGGGATGCAGTTACCGTATGATATCAAGGAGGGTCTATTCAACAGAATAGAATAGAACCTCGTTGCATATTTATTATATAATTTCTGTACATTTGTGTCTTGGGTTTGGTTTTGGATCCTTTTTGTTCGTTTTATGGGGAGAAAAAAACTTGTCAGACGTATAACACAATTTCGTAACTCTTTTATCAGTATTTTAGGCATTTTGGATTTAAAATTATACTTATTCATAGCGTCCCCTCTTTTATCAAACGTCTGCTTGTGTTCTCTGCTCAACCTCATTGCGTTTTTTGTGTTTTTCCTATCTGCTGAATTGGCAGACGTCCCAACTGCCGTTCCTTTGATACTTTCTTTATCTTGTTGTTTCTATCTCGGCTTTCAGGAGGCGGGCGGTCCTTTCACTAGTTATGGCACGGCCGAACACGAGTCGACAGGGGGAAGAAAAGAAACGTTCCATTTGTGTCATGCGTTACCAATAGAATTAGCGGCCCTTCTGGCATCCGTGGTGAGAGGACAATAAAGTTGACGTAATCCTATAGAAGTTTAATGCACGACCACCCTGGTACACGCGGTCATTATGTATGGATGACAAACAATGTCCGTATGCTACCCGAGGTGTGGTCACATCCGTCCTGCTCTTCAAGCAGAGGTCGTGTGGCAGGCGTAGCGGTACTCTCCAAGCAGAGGTTTGGGTTTTGGGGGTATTTTTTAGCATGTTTTAGGCTTTTTTTATCGGGGTTTCTATTTTGCACTTGTTTGGTGGGAAAAAAATTCAGTGCAAAAGAGAAACCCCAATAAAAAAGCCTAAAAACACGCTAAAAATACCCCCAAAACCCAAACCTCTGCTTGGGGAGTAGCGTAGCGGCAGAGTGCTCGAATCGGAACTAAGAGGTCCCGGGTTCGAGTCCTGACATGCCACCGATCTTATGCCCTTGGGAAACACACTTTCCTCACTTCACTCAACTGAAAATGAATACTGTCCTGTCCTGTATTTAGTCCTCTGCATACTTTCCCCCATTTCACTCAGGTGAAAATGAGTATTGTATTGTCCCCTGTGTTGGTGGTAACGTTGAGTGTGCCGTCACCACGTCTTGTGATGATTACATACATGTTGGAATAAAAAATTAAAAAAAAAAGCAGAGGTCTCTCTTTCAGCCTCTGCTTGGACGAAAATGATTTCATCTCTAATTGTTTATTTTCTGACGATATCAGAAAACAATTACTAACCATCGTGCTCCCTTACTTTCCCACTATTCCCAAACACGACAATTTTACTACATAATGTCGCTTTAAAGTGATCCTTGTACCACGCACTATCCTAGCTTACAAGCCTCCTTCATACCACTCTATATCATTAGTGTGAGCGGGGCGATCAAATGGTTATCATGCAATTCACTGGACATGGTAAATGTCGCCAAAAACTCTTATAAAACTGTTTTGCTTTGAGAAACTTAATACGTGCTTTCAAGAGCCAAGCTCCTTTGATACAAGAGCTTCTGAATCGATAAACCATTTATCATTCTTTCATTTTATCACCAGAATTTTCGCACTAGTACTGTTGAATCCTTTTTATAACGGTACCTTTGTAGACCACACTTATGCACAATGCATTCTTACAGACAATAAATCATTTCATTCATGCGTTCAATCGTATAAGGTCTACATATGCTGCTGCCTGTTTAACTGTGTGGCCGGGCCCGTCCATACATAAAAAGCGCTCAGTAAAATAGCTAACGTTTTCCATTAGTGATACTTTCGGATTTTCTTTTATCGCCAAAATGACGTTACTTGATTTTTGTTGCCTACACTTTCCTCCAACGGTACTACGTAGAGAGGAAATTGCGAGATTGAGATCCGAGACAAGTGCATCTTTAGTATAGTGTCCTATCTTGCCATCATGCCTAATGCCAAGTTACTGGGTGATCACAAATACTGAGTACTGAGTAGGTTTGAATCCACCATACGGCATAGTAAACGAAACATTATGGAATTTTGTATCCCTTAGGAAATCCCACGTTAAGAAGGCATCTGCCCGGATTCGCCACCCTCTACCACCACGAGAAGTGTACACATAGGTACGGGCAGATATCGGCCGAGTGAACTTAGTAGAAATTGGTCAGATAAAAAGGATAACTTGCTGGAGGAGTTTTACCCATCCAGGGAAGGTCCAGTTGTTCCCCACAGGACCCTCATATGTGACCGATTTCTACTATTTATCCTCAGTAGAGTCTGGAGAACTGATACTAGAAGTACCACGTTTAACTATAACTTCTAGTAAAGATCCTTCGTTGTGTTGTATATTCACTATACACTAGACTATCAGATTCTATTCCAGCATTTACCACAATAAACTCGAAATCAAATCATATTTAAGGTTTTTATAAAAATACATAATGACTTGTGAGAACCCCTACATGCTATACATAGGGATATATATTAAAGACTGTATGGATATTAGAAACTCCTCCAATGATTGTAAGAGTTCATACCTATCCCATACTAGCTTGCTACACAGTTTTACCAGTAGTCTACTACTAGTTACGTTATTAGAGGATTATGAAAATGTAGTCAATGTACTTTGTAGATGCCATACTCTGGACCCTGTGCAACTGTTGTGCAACAAAGTTATCAGTCTTACCACGACATCGTACGTATGTATATAATGTACCTAAAACAAGTAAAACACTGTCTTGTCTATACCATGAAGGCATCTGTGACCTTTAAACTGATATAGATCTATTTCCTCTACCCTGTGGCACTACTACTCGGTATGTCTCCCACAGAAGGGTGCCCTTGGCACGGACAAATAGTAGAAACTGGCCAAGAAACAGAGTTGGTAATTGAAAGGAGTCAGCCTAGGGGTACGTTAGGCCTTCACTGACCGCTTGACTCCTTTGACCTTTAAATTTACTTAGGATTTTTTACAACTTCAGCCAAAGCCAAAACGAGGGAGCAAAGAAATGGTTTTCACGTAGGGCCATGTTGATTTGATTATATGGATGACGTCCGCGCGCGCATGAATTTCGGCCGTTTCCAAAAAAAAAAGTTTTCAACCATACAGTAAATCGTACAAAACAGTTGCAAAATGAGCAATTATATACCGTAAGTTGCAAAAAGAATATTTAGATACGATACCAATGTCGTAGGATCCCAAATTTAAACAAAAAAGACGAAAAGATGTAAAGAAATGAATTTGAAGAGTAGATTATTCGCCAAACTATACTCTGTGTCATTTGTTCAACCTTCATGACCACGTAGATTTCATAATGAAAGCAACTTTTTTTTTCAAAATGTTTTTTATTCGCACGCTCGCATCAGTGTTCCCAGAGGATGTCATCCATATAATCAAATCAACATGGCCTATAGTCATACAATATCTTTTAACACCTGTGTCCCCTTTCCCTTCCAGACTGAAAGAAAATGCGGAATCTCTTAAAGGCGATACTCCCCTACGTCATCGCCTCACCAACTTAAGACATTCTTGGAACTGAGATCCTTGAAGAAGATGTTTTTCCTTGCTTGAGTCTGTCAACGTGGGCGAATAGTTGAGCCTTCAGCTAAGTCGACCCCCTGGACTTTCTGAAGCACAACGGCTCAGCGATAGCGCAGAGTCTGGTTCTTCCGGAGTCTTTGATCTTGTGAGGACGACAAACAGAGACCGGCTTACCGTTTAGAGATGTTTCAAAATGTTTTTCTTCGAATGTTTCTGGCGTTCTTACGGTCGGTGACCTGTGGGAGTGTTCAGTGTGGTCCGGTGGCTAGCAATCCTAGCCTCTACCAGGCTTCGGGAGGTGGCTGGAAAGAGTAGAAATAGGCCAAATAGAGAGATAGCATGCCAAGGGAGTTTGTCCGTTGAGAGAACAGTTCGCCGCCGACAAAATCTCTATACCAGTGGCCGATTTCTACTCTTTCCAGTCGCCTCCCGAAGCCTGGTAGAGGCTATAGCAATCCTGCATCTGGACGGCAGGGTCAAGTGTTCGAATCCCTGGCAATCCGTCGGTGGGCTTGATTCTACTTTGCATGCTGCCAGGGTGGAACCTAATCCTTGCAAGTAGACGTTTTCTTCGAATGTTTCGGTCGGTGACCTGTGGGAGTGTTCAGTGGCCCAGTGGCTAGCAATCCTGCATCTGGACGGCAGGGTCAAGTGTTCGAATCCCGGGCCAATCCGTCCGTGTTCTTGATTCTATTTTGCATG